CCGGCCGCCCAGGTACAGCGCGCCCCATACCGTCTTGATGATCTGGGCGGTTGGGGTCCGGCCTCGATCTTGCGGCGCAACCGGCTGACCTGATTGTCGATCGCGCGGTCAAGCGGCGGCCTCACGCTCCTTGCGTCAGGTCGAGCAACTGGTCGCGGGTCAGCACCTCACGCGGCGGCTGACCAGCGCAGGCAGATTATACTCGCCCGTCAGCAGCATCACCGACACGCCTCCTGGTCGACCAGCGAGCGTTCGCGTTGAGAACCCAGCCAGCAAAACGCCGGATCCGCTGTGGGGCGCATGAACACGCGCCGCCCGCCGGTCGGCGCAACTGACCTTGGCACGGGTCGCCAGCTCGCGCGGGGAAAAGGGCTTTACGACATAATCGTCCGCACCCATTTCAGTCCGACGATCCGGTCGGTTTCCTCGGCGCGGGCGGTCAGCAGATGACCGGCACTTCGCTGGTCGCGGCGATATGGCGACAGAGATCCCGAAGCCCATCTCGCCCGGCATCATGATGTCGAGGATGACAAGATCGAAATGGCATAGGCGGCCAGCCGCGTGTGGGCGGAGGCGGCGTCGCCCGCCTGGGATCACCGCGAAACCCTGTTTGGTCAGATAGACGGCGAGCGGCTCACGGATCGAACGGTCGTCGTCATTTACAGCAGGTGCGGCGTGTCGGACATGGGGCTGGGGTCTAGCATGGCGGCAGATCTCGTGCCGGGCTGGCCAATGGGCGCGGCGCCGCCCGCTTGCGATGATGATCAGCCGCCGTCGGTCATGGGCTGAGCGGTCGGGGGCTACCCCTGCCTGGCCACCGTGCCGCTGTGGCTACGCTGGCGCGGGGCGGCGGCGCGTTCCTGCGCACGATCTTGCCGCCGTGATTGGTGTCGAGCCGGTCGAACATGGCGGCGGCCCCGCGCACGGAAGGTCCGTCGGCGATCGGCTGCGGGCACACGGCGGCCAGGGCGGTCGCCCTGCGGCTGGCCATGCCACGCCCGCGCCGCTCTGGTCGCGATAGGCGCGCATCTCTTCGGCGTGACGGTGCCGTCATTGATTGGCGTCCATCGCGGCAAAGCGGCTATCGGCAGCGGCCATTATGGCGGTGCGGGTGATGTTGCCCTGCGCGTCTTGCACGCCCATCAGACCGTGGCGCATGGGCGGGGGGCGCGGGGTGCCGCTCTGGGCCCGGGTAGCGGTGGCGGTAACTGCGGTGGCGAGGGAAAGGTTGATCAGGGTCTTTCGCATGGCGGGGCGTCCTTGGTGAGGGAAGGCCGATCCTTCCGATCATCGCCATATCTCGCGCCCCCTGTCCCCGATAATGTCGCCGTGCCCCGGTCAATTGTGCCAAATTGTAGAGGCGCTTACCTCAGATCGCCAGCAATCGGTCGTCGAACAGGCCGCAGAGGATGGTCGAGGCGAGCGCGATCGCGCATGCGGCCGCTCCATCGTCGCAGCCCATTTGCGCATGTCGAACGCGGCGTTCTGCAGCGCCATCAGCGTCTGCGCGGCGATCAGCGCGTCGACGGGGCGCATCGACCCTCTGCCACGCCGTCCATGATCGTCCCGGCATAGCGCCGCGCGATCCGTCCGACCGGTCCACCATCGCGCGGCGGACATCGGCGGGCAGGCTGGACAGCGCAGTGGTCCGCAGCAGCGGCCCCGCTCGGCGAACTGGATATCGAGCAACGTCGCGACCGCGCTCGACAGGCGGTGCCAGTGGCTGCCCCGGCGGCATCGGCCAGTTGCTGCGCGGCGGTGATCGTGTCGAAACTGCGGCGATAGCAGGTGACGACCAGATCGTCCTGGCATCGAGATGATGGTAAGCTGCCCTTGGTGACGTTCAGCTCAGGCGATCCGCTGCACGCCTCGCGCCGCGATAGCCGAGCTGGTTGATCAGCCCGCGTCGCCGCCAGCAGGGGAACGCCTCGCGCCCCTGCTCCGCCTCCCGCCCCGGTGTCGATTGGACACCCAGCGGCAGTGGCGAGACCAGCCCGAACCCGGTGCAGCGACGCCGTGGGTCAGCACATCGAGCAGCCGCTCCTCGACCCGATTATATTGATCTGGTTCGTAACAGGTCCAGCCAGATCGGCAGCCAAAAGGTATTTTCCAGCAGGACATGCGCGCGGGCGCCGTACAGGTCCTGATGCGCGCAGCTGGCCGGCGGCCCAGGCTGCGCGTGGTGCGGAACACCTTCTGCCAGCCGGCCATCAGCCGCCCACGGATCGGCTCTTCGGTGGCGCGCAGGTCGGATAGTACGGCAAAGGCGGTTTCCTCGCCGCGTTCGATCCAGGCCAGCCGGTCCATGTTGAGCGCGATATAGCGTGCGATCGAGCTTGCGGCGTGGCTTCCTGTCCCGCGATCGCCAGCATGTCTAGCAGCCGCTCGAGCGTGTTCTCGAACGCGGCGGCGGCAGAATCCTTGCGCTTGAAATAATAGGTGACGCTGGTGGTGTTCAGCCCGACGCGCCGCGCGACATCGGCAAGGTCATCCCCTTGGCCGATTGCTCGTTGATCGCCGCCGCCGCGGCCGCGAGGATCGCGTCGCGTTTCTGGCGGTAGCGCTCGGTATTCTGCCCCTCTGCGACGGACGTCGCCATGTTCGCCATTCCCTTGTGGTCAAGTCGATGAGGTTAGAAGAAAAAGTATGGCCGGTCACCGGGATTTTTCAGCTGACGGAGCGACATTGCGATGCCGGGCGGAAGGGTAACCGCCAGTTCGGTATGGCCGACCGGCTCGCCTGCCTCGTCAATTAAAAGCATGGAAATACGAGCCGATTAATCTTTGTTTAGCCATTATGGGCAGATATGCCTCATGTTATCCACCGCTTACGCCACAGTAACTGACCGTATCTGGCAGAGGCCGATCCGCTCTTCCAGTCGATCGATCAGGCACATCTCGTCGCGGTGTTCGACACGGAGAAGCAGGGTGCTGTGGGCGAACGAGAATTTCTCGCGCATTTGGCTATCGTGCCGAACAGGTGATCGGTCAGCAGCACCGTCTGCTCTGCCCATCAATATCATGTCGGCACAGGATTATGAGCGCTTCTGGCGGTCGCTCTGGCAGGGAGCCAGTTCCACAGCGGCACCTATCGCCGGGTGGGCCGCAACGGCCGTTCGGCTGGCTGGAGGCCAGCCACGCCGATCTTCGACGCGCAGGGCAATGTCGAGATGATCCTGAAGGTCGGCAGCGACGTGACCGAGCGTCGCCGGGCCGATGGCGAAAGGCGCAGCAAGCTGGACGCGATCGACAAGTCGCAGGCGGTGATCGAATTCGACCTTAAGGGCCATGTCCCCGCCGCCAACGACCTGTTCCTGTCGGTCTGGGCTATAGCCGGGCGAGGCGGTCGGCGGCCATCACCGCCACTTTGTGATCCCGAATATGTGCGGACCGCCGATTATGCCAAGCTCTGGACCGATCTTGCGGCGGGAAATTCATCTCAGGCCGTTTTCTGAGCGTCGTCGCTCCGATGGCAGTCGGTGTGGTTGCAGGCCACCTACACGCCGATCCTCAATTCCGATGGCGTACCCTACAAAGGTCGTGAAGTTCGCCAGCGATACAGGACCGACCGGGTATTGCTGGAGGCGCAGGCGACCGAGCAATTGGGGCAGGCGGAACAGTTCCGCCGCATGGCTGAGGAGCGCCAGACCAATTGGAGGTCATGCTGCGCGACATGGAGGGATCGTCGACAGCATCACCCACCATCGCCGAACAGACCAACATGCTGGCGCTGAATGCCGGTATCGAGGCGGCGCGCGCCGGTCCTGCCAGTCGCGGCTTCCGGCATCGTCGCCGCCGAGGTCAAGAAATTGGCCGAGGATGCGCAGCGCCACCCAATCGGCGCGGCGGGATGCTGCGCCGCTGATCAAACGCCCGTGTCGTCGCGGCTGGCGCAGGCGGATCAACTCTTCCGCGCGACGCTGGCCACCAGCCGCCCGTCGGCAGTGAAGATCCGCCCTGCCGAAGCTGCGCGCATGGCCCGGGGGCTGTCGGTAGTGTAGAGCAGCCACTCATCGACCCGGAACGGTTCGTGCAGCCACAGCGCATGGTCCGGGCTGGCTGTCTGCATGTCGCGGGTCAGCCAACTGACGCCGTGTGGCAGGGGTGGAGGTGCCCAGCAGCACGGGGGAGTCGCTGGCATAGGCCAGATCGCCTGGTGCGGCGTGGGATCGTCCGCGATCGGCGCGACGAGGCGGAACCAGATCACTGGCCCGGCTCGCGCGGCGCAGGCGTCGTGACCTGTCGAGGATCGGTCAGCGCATCTCAATCGGGCGCACGCTGCTCAGAAGGCGCGGATCGGGGCGGATCTGGTCGCCCAGCGTGGCGAGCAACTCGCGTTCGGACGGCAGTGCGTCCGGCCCCGGCACCTCGGGCATCGCATCCTGATGATGCATCCCCTCGTCGGGCATCTGGAACGAGCAGGCCATGTTGAGGATCGGCTTGCCCTTCTGCATGGCGACTACCTGCCGCGTCGCGAAGCTGCGCCCCCTCGAAATCCCGCTCGACACGGTAGATGATCGGGAAACGCTCGTCGCCGGGCCGCATGAAATAGGCGTGGAGCGAATGGGCCATGCGCGGCGCCTCGGTCGAGCGTTGCGCGGCCTGCAGCGCCTGCGCGATCACCTGCCCGCCAAAGACCCGCCCACGGCCACCGGGGGCGCCGTGCCCCGCGATACAGATCGGGTGTCGATCTCCTCGACATCGAGCAGATCGACCAGACCACGGACAAGGCGATCGGGGAGGGGGCAGGGCGAGCGGCATCGTTCATGCCATTTTGATGGTTTGCAGTTTACGTCAACGTCAAGCCTTGGAGCATGATCGAAACGACTATCGCGCCATTTGTCAGGACGGCTACACAGGCAGGATCGCTCAAACCGGGGTTGCGATGGAAGTTTTGAACGAAGATGGCGCATCGGGCGTGCAGAGTTGCATTCTGGCGGCGCTGACGGATGAATTGATGCGTCACCTGGATGGATGCGGGCGTTCTGACCCGGGGCCAGCTCAGTCGATCGAAAATGCGGTGGCCGAACGGACCGGCGGGATTCCTCGCGCTTTTAGCATTGGGCGGGTTTGGACCGCCCCTTGGCGCAGGGGCGGGGGCCGATTGCGCAATATGACGTATTCGTCGAAAATCGTTGCCATCTGCGCGCGTTGGCGGCTTCTCCCGTTGGGAAGGCCGCTAACGTGACCATCGTCATGGTAACGCGCAGGATGAAATCGCCGGCAAAGGCAGTATGGCTGGCGATCTGATATTGGGGATGCCGGTCGGCATGGGGCAACGCGATGCCGTACGGATCGCGATGCGCCAGGACCGGTTGCTCGCCGGGCTGACCCTGACGGCGGGGGGCGGGCTTCATCTGGCCTTGCCCTTCGCGCTTCGCGAGGGGGCGGAATTCTTCTGCCATGACCACCGCGCTGGTCATCGCCATCGCGCTGGTGCCGATCCCGGAATGGCTGGAGCGGCGGCGGGTGCCCTCGGCTCGCGGCGCTGATGTGCGTGCCGCTGTTCCTGATCGTCGCCAATATCGCGCTGGCCGCGATCATCGTGCCGGCGACCGACTTCTTCCGGCTGCTGCCCAGCCGGATCAGGCGCATCGGGACAATCTGGCGCCGCTGCAACCTCTATTCGAACCTCGAACGGCTATGTAGACAGGCGCTGCGCGAGGTCGCCTCGACGCCCCATTCGCCAGCCCCAAACGGCGGCGGTCTCCCCGCCCAGCTCGATCTGGAACTGGCTGCGACCTCGGCGCCCGGGCATCGTGCAGTTCCTGTTCGGCGTCCTCGTCGTGTTCTTCGTCCTGTCCGGCTGGACGCGGATGCGGCGTGAGACCATTCGTGGGCGGACCAGCTTCGACGGTGCGATGGCGACCGCGGGTCATCCAGGAGGTGGTGGACGATGTCTCTGCCTATCTGGTACCATCACCATCATCAACTTTGGCGCTGGGCGGCGCGGTGGCGGGGGCCCTGTCACCTGTTCGCTGCCTATCCGTTGATGTGGGGCGGTATCGTCGCGCTCCTCAACTACATCCCCTATTTCCGGGCCGGTGATCGGCGCGCTGCTGCTCGCGGTGGGCGGGCGCGGCACCTTCAACGACATCTGGGTCGCCACGGCACCGCCCGCGATCATGTACGGCATGCATCTGGTCGAGGCGAACTGATCACCCCGCTGATCGTCGGGCACCGCCTGACCATCAGTCTGGTGCTGATCCAGGTCTCGCTGAGCTTCTGGGGATGGTGTGGGGAACGGTGGGCGCGCTGCTGCGCCCGTGCCGCTGCTCATCATCCTTCAGACTGTCCTCAAAGGCCGCCGGAAAACCCGACATTGCGGGCTTCCTGTTCGAGCATGGAACGCTCACCCATCTCGACCGCGACAGCGACCGGAGGACGTTCGCAAGAAAGTTGAAATGAAGCGTTGACAGGGTCGGGAGGCTCGCCCAGTTGGCGCGCCTCGACGCTTTCAGCAGGTGTAGCTCAGTTGGTTAGAGCGCCGGCCCTGTCACGCCGGGAGGGTCGCGTGGTTCGAACCCGTCACTCGCGCCATTCCCTTGCCGGAATGGCTGAAAATTCCTGGAAATCCCCGAAAGGGCCGATGCCGATATAGGTCGGTATCATATGGCTTCCAAGCGGGTGTAGCTCAGTTGGTTAGAGCGCCGGCCTGTCACGCCGGAGGTCGCGGGTTTCGAGCCCGTCACCTCGCGCCATCCTTCGGGATGGCGTTTTGTCTTCAGACCGGATATTCGGCGATGGTTCGTCGCTCTGCTGGGCCAGCGATGGGCATGGGCCTTCGACTTCGCTCAGGCTGAGCGGAGTATGACGACAACCACGCCAAAACAGCCGTTCAGTCTGAGCGAAGTCGAAGGCCACGGGAAGCCCTAACCCCGGCCCCCCTCCATCCAGCGCAGCAACGGCTTCATCGGCGTGATCCAGACGATCCCGCGACGATATAGAAGGCCGAGTTGCAACACCCAATGCCATTGGCCCACCACGCTCGACAGGCTGGCGACGAGCGCCGCCCTGTGCGATGATGATCCCGACGATCAGCAACATGCCGGGCCGGTTTGCGCCAACTGGGGGTCATGGGATGATCCATTCCGATTCGGTGGCGATGGCGTGGAGCGGTATGTCCCAGCTATCGGGTACGAGCGTCGATTCTTGCACGCTCCGGGCGATCCCCACGCGCCGGGCATCGGGATGGGCGGCGAATGCGCGGTCATAATGGCCCGGCACCTTGGCCCAGCGCCGGTTGCCCCGCCGGTCGAACCCTACGAGCGGCGTCAGGATGATCGGGCGCGCATTCGGGCGCATCGGGGAGGGGTTGATGCAGCCCGAAGGCGCAATGCTCAAATCCTGCCCGTGGACCATTGCGGAAGCGGATCGGGCTCGCTCGGTCGGTGACATGGGGTAAGGCGATGGTCGCGCCCGCATGGGCGCTGCTTCGACCTATAAGGCTGGATCGGCCTCGGCGCCCAGCAGGTGATAGGCGGCGACGATCTGATGGGGGAGCAGGCGGTCGAGGAAAGGTCGCGCCACCGGCAGCAGGCCGGGGCCATACGCATCGCACACCGCCTGCATCCGGGCGCGGAGGGCACGCTTGTCGGTCATGTCAGGAAAAGGGCGGGTGGCGGGACCGCCGTGGCCGTGTGCCGTAATATCCACTGACGCCCAATACGTCAGGTGGGGACCATGTGCGTCGGACGGGGGTCCGGGCAGGGACACCCCTGGATGAAGAATAGCCTCAGGGATTATCGTGGCTCCGTACCGGCAGAACCCGCCACCGATCAATGTAGGCGAGGCGTCGCCTTCTCCAAGGGGCCGGATGCTACCCAATGGGGCCGCTACCTTCGGGCTCCAGCGCGTCGGCCAGCGCCTCCAGCCGCTCGGCGATGCGGGCCAGTGCGGCCTCGCTGACGGCGGCACCGGCAGGGGGCGACGCTCGGCCTCTTCCAGCGCATCGGCGAGCATCAGCGCGACGAACAGCAGCGCCTGCTCGCCGTTATGCCCGCCCGAGGCGCGCAGCGCGCAGCGGGCCAGCGCTGTCAAGCATCTGGCCCAGCATCACGCGCGCGCGCCGCCGTCCCCGGCAATAGACGGTATGGGGCGATCGCCGATCATGATCGTGACTTCGGCCATCAGGCGGCGCTCCCCCGGCTGATCGTCGTCCAACGCGCTGACCGCCTCGGCCATCCGGGCTTTCAGCGCGGCATGGCAACGCGCGAGGGCGATCCTCCTTGGCGGCACGGCTCCGGATCGTCTGTTCGATACGGGCGATCGCTCAGTCGATACGCTCGACGGAGGAAAAGGACATCGTCGGCAATGGGTTCGGACATGGGACGGGCTTAGCAGGATAGCTTCACGCGGCAACCCCGCAATTGGACGATGCAGGGTCGGCTGGCGGTTGACAGCGGAACCCGTCGGCTCCGAAGGCGTGGCGCGACAAGGAATCACTATAAAGGTGAATTTCATCCTATCGGGGCGGTGCCGTTCAGGCATCGCGACAGAGATACAGGAGCTTGCTGGGCATGACGGTCAAGGTTGCAATCAATGGCTTGGCCGTATCGGTCGACTGGTCGCTCGCGCGATTCTCCGAGCGGGGCGGCGATGCGCTGGAGTTGGTCGCGATCAACGACACGGCCGATGCCAAGTCAACGCTCCGGCTGTTCAGCCGCGACAGCGTCCATGGCCGTTATCCGGGCGAAGTGACCGCCGACGGCAACGACATCGTCATCGACGGCAAGCGTATCGCGTCACCGCTGAGCGCGATCCGGCGAACCACCACCCGCACAAGGAACTGGGCGTCGACTTGGTCTGGAGTGCACCGGCTTCTTCACCCGACAAGGCGTCGTGCGAAAAGCGTCTCGCCGCCGGTGCGAAGAAGGTGCTGATCTCGGCGCCGGGCAAGAATGTCGACCTGACCGTCGTCTATGGCGTCAACCATGACAAGCTGACCGCCGACCACACCATCGTCTCGAACGCCTCGTGCACCACCAACTGCTGGCGCCGGTCGCCAAGGTGCTGAACGATGCGATCGGCATCGAGCGTGGTCTGATGACCACGGTCCACGCCTATACCAACGACCAGAAGATCCTCGACCAGATCCACCCCGACCTGCGCCGCGCCCCGCGCCGCCGCCATGTCGATGATCCCGACCACCACGGGCGCTGCCGCGCGGTGGGCGAGGTTCTTCCCGAGCTGAAGGGCAAGCTGGACGGCTCGGCCATCGCGTGCCCACCCCGGACGTCAGCCTGGTCGACCTGACCTTCACGCCTGCGCGTGACACGACCAAGGAAGAGGTCAACGCGATCCTGAAGGCAGCGTCGGAGAGCGAGGCGCTGAAGGGCGTGCTGGTTCATACCGACGAGCCGCTGGTCTCGATCGACCTGATGCACTCGCCGCAGTCCTCCGACCGTCGACAGCCCGGAGACGGCGGTGATCGACGGCAAGCTGGTGCGTGTCGTATCTTGGTACGACAATGAATGGGGCTTCTCGAACCGCATGGTCGACACCGCGACCGCGATGGCGAAGTTCCTCTAATGACGGACGAGCGGGCGATGACCGGGCGTCTGGCCGGCATCGCCCGCCATGCCGTGCCCAAAGGGGCCGATGGAGGTAATCGACACCGCCATCGTCACCCCCGAGGGCGGCGTCGAAGGCGATGTGCGCGGGCGGATCAAGCCCGGCGGTCGCGGACGGCGTCAGGTGACGCTGATCGAGCGCGCCGACTGGGATGCCGCCTTGGCCGAGATCGACCGCGCCATCCTCGGCAGGAGCGCCGCGCGAACCTGCTGGTCGAGGATTTCGACCTTCCCCAAATTCCGGGCACTCGGCTGCGGATCAGGCCCGTGCTTCTGGAAATCACCATCGAATGCGATCCGTGCCACCGCATGGACGCGATCGCCGACGGATTGCAGGTAGCCTTGAAACCCGATTGGCGCGGCGGCGCGCAGCAGGGTGATCGAGGGCGGCACGATCCGCATCGGCGATACAATCAGGATCGAGGAATCGCGACCAAGCCCTTCAAGACGCTCGACGATATGGGTGACGTGTCCGGCAAGCGCGTGCTGGTCCGCGAGGATCTGAACGTGCCGATGGCCGATGGCCGCGTCACCGACGACACCCGCCTGCGCGCGCGACGATCGCGACCGTGACCGAACTGGCCGACAAGGGCGCGATCGTCCTGATCCTCGCCCATTTCAGCCGCCCCAGGGCAGCGTAACCCTGAATTCTCGCTGGCGATGCTGACTCAGCCCTATAGCGATGTGCTGGGCCGTCGGGTGCGCTTTATCGACGATGTCGCGGGCGAGGCGGCGGAAGCGGCGGTCGCGACGCTGAACCCCGGCGATATCGCGATCCTCGAAAACACCCGCTTCCATGCCGGTGAGGAAAAGAACGATCCCGAACTGGCGGTAGCGATCGCCAAGCTAGGTGATTTCTACGTCAACGACGCCTTCTCGGCCGCGCACCGCGCGCACGTCTCGACCGAGGGGCTGGCGCGCCAGCTTCCGGCGTTCGCTGGGCGCGCGATGGAGGCCGAACTCGACGCGCTGGAAAGGCGCTGGGCAACCCCGAGCCCCGGTCGCAGCCGTGGTCGGCGGGCC